TTCATTTTTTTGTATTTTCATGTGTTTTTATGATGATAGTTACATTGTTTTGCTTCTTAATTTAGGATTCCTTTATGTATTTCTTCTAAGGCTGGTCTAGTGAGGGTTATTTCTTCAGTGTTTGCTTGTCTTTTTTTTTTTTTTTTTAAAGAATTAACGTACTTAATTTTATTATTTTTAATTTTACCAGAGAGAGAGAGAGAGGAGGGAAGGTGAGAAAGCAATCTACCAGGTCCAGGACTCTAACTGCTGTCGGCCATGGGGGTGTCAGTGCCTTAACCACTATACCACCTACTGTTCTCTTACTTGTCTTTTGAAGACTTTATTTCTCCTTATATATGAAGGATAGGTTTACTAGGCATAGAATTCTTGGCTGGCAGTTTTCTCTTTTAGAATTTTGTCTTATGTTTTCTTTCCATTTTTTGTTGCCCAATGGCATGAGTGCTTTCCAAATAGAGATAAAAAGAATCCCCCGACAGGGTATAGTTACGTTGCAGCTATTTTGTCTGCAGTTAAGATATAGGTATGTCTTTCAAGATGCTACTGCGTGAACTAGAGTTGGTTGGCCATGTGGGTTCTTGTGCCCCAGATGTACTGCACTTAATGCCATGCTGTGGCCTGCCCCTTTCAGGCTTTTGAATATTGGGACACACACACACATGCACACGCACACGCAGCACCCAGTGTGTTTTTCAAGCCATCAGGGCTAGGATGCAGTTGGCCATGGTTGGCCATGTGGAATCTAGCTCTATGTAACCATTCGGCAAAGGGTCTGGCCCTTTGTTTTTTAATTTTGACATTTTAATTATAAACCTTGACCAGGACCTCTTTTTGAGACTCTTTCTACTTGATCTAGTCTGGTCAAGCATATTAGCTGACCTAGCTTGTGCTATATAGCTTACAGTAGTCATTAAATAGATATTTTATAATATTGAAGCTCTACGTTATTTTTTAATAATTTAAAAAATAATTTTAACATACATTTATTTATTTATTTATTTTAATTTGGCCAGAGAGGGACAGAGTGAGGGAGGGAGGGAGTGAGTGAGAAAGCAAGCCTCCAGATCTGGGATTCAAACTGCCATTGGTCATGTGGGAGTCCAGTACCTTTAACTACCATGCCACCTGCCAGGCCCTTCTACATTATGTTTTTAATTTTATTTGTTGCAGTGTTTTAAGTTTGAGAATGTCTGTTTTTTTTTTTTTTAAACGATTTCTCTTTGTCAGATTTTTCGTTCTGATTTTAAATTGGTTTTTGGATTTTGTTTGATCGGTTACTGTTTTTTTTTTTAAATTTGCCAAGGGTATGTGTGCCCACTGGAGAGAGGGCAAAAAGTGAGAAAGCAATCCCGCATGGAGAGTGCTCATGCTGTAATCCCTTCTCCTCCATTATTCCTTCCTTTTGGAATTTTGGGCATGTACACACCTACGTCCAGAGTTGATTTTTTTTTTTTTAAGTTACAGGGTCTGGGATTCCAACAACAATGTTGGCCGTGTGGCTTCTAGCCATCTCCACCACCACATTATAGTATGACCTGAACGGTGTGTTTATATTATCCTGTATCTATCTTAGTGAGTTCTTTCTAGAGCTATTGTTTTCAGTTTCCATTCAGACTTTTTAAGAATGTTTTTTCTTTCCGCTCTCTTATTGGATAATTAGTGTTTTCTTTGTAAGTGTTAAGTTTCCTTGTTGTGTTATGTTCCTCATGTCCCTGTGCTGTTATCTGGGTATCTGGTATGGTAGTTATTTCTTTCAATTTTATGGAGCAGGTTTAGTGGAACCTAATTTTTGGAAGTTTTTTTTTTTTTTTTTAAATTTGCCAGAGAGCGTGTATGCTCACCAGAGGGAGAGAGAGAAGGCATACTCCCCCCAGTGGGGTGTGGTCATATTACAGTCCCTTCTTGGGAGATGCATTTTGTAGTATCAGATAAAGGAGTGTTTTAGTTCTTTTTTTTTTTTTTTTTCTTTTGAGACGTTTTTCCTATAGGGTGTGTGCGCTCACCAGAAAGACAGAAAGAGACAGAGAGAAAGTGAGAGATAACCCCCCCCCCCGAGGGATAGCCACTTTTCAATTCCTTCTCTATTCTCCTATCAGGATCTTGGGCACACATGTACACACACCTGGTGTGAGTTTAAGACACTGAGTCCAGGACTCGAACTGTGGTCGACTACATGAGAGTTCAGCGACATAGCCATTACACCAACTGCTGGTCCCACCCAGCATGAGTTTCAAGCTGGCAGGTCTGGAACTTGAACCATTGTCAGCCATGTGGGAGTCCAGTGCCTTAACTATTATGCCACCTGCTGGCCCCAATGTTTTAATTTAAAAAAAGTATTTTATTTAACTATTTATTTATTTATTTTTAAATTTCAATAAAGAGAGTGAGTAAGTGAGAGAGAGAGGGAGGGAAAGTGAGAAAGCAAGCCGCTAGGTCTGGGGCTCGAACTGTAGTCAGCCCTGTGGGCCTCTAGCACCCTTATATGCCACCTGTCAGTCCCCCAGTGTTTTAATTTTTAATGTAAGCAGTCATATGTATTTAAGTAAGAGAAGGCATTGCTGCTATTTTATATGGCTAATAGCTATTAACAGTTATTACTGTTGGACTAACCCTGTAGAGCAGTGGATTAGTGCTGTGCATTGGAAGTCAGAACCCGCATGGGTGCCTGGGACTTGAATCCTGGCTTTGGCAGCTTGAAAATCATGCTGAGCACCTGACATGCTTGCCCAAAATCCTAATGGGAAGGAGAAATACATGAAAAACGATTGTAGCGTGACTAGAACCCCCTTGAGGGGGTGCTTTATTTCTGTCTGTCTCCCTCTCTTTTCCCGTTGAGCACTCACACCCTCTGGTAGTAAAATAAATAAAATGAAATAAAATTAAAAGTTACCACTTCATTTCTTGCTGAAATTTAGAGCTGGGATAATTTTTTCTGTAATCTGAGTGAATTTTTTTCTTTTTCCCTTTTGTTTTTAGAGAGAGATTTTTGCTATAGGGTGCCACACGGATTAGATTTTGTTTGATTGGTTACTGTTACTTGCCAGAATGACAGCGACAAATTACTTGCAGGGGGGATGGCCACGTCGCAATCTCTGCTCCTTTATTCTCCTCTCGGGATTTTGGGCGTGCAAGCACATGCACCTAGTGTGTTTGAAGCCGCCGGGTCTGGGACTTGAACTTGGGTCATGGCAGTCCAGTGACGTATTATGCCATTCACACTGTGCCATCCACTGGCCCCTTTTGTTTCCTTTAATATAGATCTGTTTAAAGAGATGTTCTGGGTTTGTTATTCCAGTTGATCTCTTTTCTTTTTTCCTTTGTTTTGGAGAGGTTATTTTTGCTATAGGGCGCGTGCACTGTCCAGAAAGACAGACAGACAGAGAGATAGAAAATGAGAAATCAGCCCCCGGGGGGATGGTGATACTGCAATCCCTTCTCCTCTATTCTCCTCTCAGGATCTTGGGCACGCATGCACATGCACCCAGCGTGAGTTTAAGCCACTGGGTCCAGGACTCGAACCACAGTGAGAGTCCAGCTACATAGCCATTATGCTAACTGCTGGTCTTCCAGTTGATCTTGTGATAACTTGCCTTTTCATTGCTTTTAAGATCTCTCTCTCTTTCTCTCTTGATTTTCTGTTGTTTTACTAATATGACTACATATGGATTTCTTTTTCTTCTTTTTTTAACCCTGAGAATTTATAGTGGGTATTTAGTCAGTGACTTGCTGTTTAACTTCTCTTTTGGAAAATTTTTATGTATTATCATTTCAAATACCACTGTGCCATTTATTTCCATATTTCTCTGAGACTGAGTACCTGTGTGTTAGATCTTCTGAGTGAATTTTTCATACTTTTGTTTCTTATGCTAACATTCTAGATATTTTTGTCTCATCTATTTTGTCCTGCACTAACTCTTTTAATTCACACCTAAGCCACTGTTAATCTCACATTAATTTTTAAAAAGAATTAATTAATTAATTTTAATTTAATTTAACCAGAGAGGGATAGAATGAGAGAGAGTGAGAGCGATAGGGAGAAAGCAAGCAAGCTGCCAAGTCTGGGTTAGCCATGTGGGAGTTTAGTGCCCTCAACCACCCCATCACCTGCTGACCCATCTCACATTAATTTTTAATTTCTGTGTTTTTATTTCTTAGAGTTCATTTGTTATTATAGCATTCCGTAATTTGCAGCAGTTTTTAATGTTGCCTTGTATGCATTTAATCATAATAAGCACAATGAGTTTAGAATATGTGTCTGATAATTCCAAAATACAGATCTGTTTTGGTTTTCTTCTGCTCATTATCAGTTTTTGGTCTCTCATGTCTTTGGTACTTTTGATTGTGGTGTAAATTAGAATTAACAAATTGTATAAATTATTTGTAGCTAAGATATTATTTTACTTGGGAGGATACATATTTGCTTCTGCTTGGTGCCACAGGGTAGCTGTAATTTTGGATTACCTTAGTCATATTTTTTATTTTAAAATGATCAAAGTCTGGATGCAATCCTTTGGATTCCCTGTGTGTTTTTATTTGTGTTTTGTGAGTGAAAGTGGCCAGAAGCTCCATACACCTCTAGGGACTTTGATCCATTTCCAGTTCTAGCTCACTAATTCTGGGCCAAAGTACTAAAGTATTAAAACTTTTATTTTATGTATGAAACTTTTAAAAAATGTTTTCTTAGTGGTTCTTAGAAGTAGCATTCATCTAAATTTTTATTCTGCCTATATAAGAAGTGTCAGTGCTAGTACCTGAATTTCTGCATCCCTCTTTATGTTCATGTAATAACTAGAGTAATGATTTAAGATGCTTTGTCAGTATTGGTTTAACTATTTTCATGGAGTGGAAGGAAGTCAGTAATAATATTGAGTAGTTTGTTAATGGCTTTGGTGTATGTTTGCTTAAATGGGCATTTAAGGAATCTCTTTAGAAAGTTAGTGATTTTATTTAAGTTTTGATAAAACTGAAAAAGAAATGACATTATTTTAATTTATTTTTAGGTTGGGCTCATGTGGTTTGTGCCCTGTATATTCCAGAGGTACAATTTGCCAATGTTTCTACAATGGAACCAATCGTTTTACAGTCTGTGCCACACGATCGTTATAATAAGGTATAGTAGATATTATTTGAATACGATATTTTTATTTTAAATCTGGGAGGTGACAAGGAATTGTATGTGTATTTTTTAAAATTACGGACCTCCATTAAAAATTCTAAATTATAGTTCTTTATGAAATTGCAAAGGGATTTGGAAGATACAGAATTACCACAATAGGCCAGGTTTAAAATATGTTACTAAGGTCACAGGAGCGGAAAACTAAAAGTCTAACAAATGTCACATTTTGTACTAACCTAGGTACTTAGTATTCTAGAATTTACAGGACTTAAACTCTTATTAAAGATTTGTCCTTTAAGATTTACTCACTTTCAATTTTTTCTCTTAAGCGCTCTGGCTCTCTAGTTTTTGCTATAGAGTACATGTGCTTGCTGGAGAGAGAGAGAGAGAGAGAGAGAGAGAGAAAGAGAGAGAAAGCATCCCCTAGGGCCAGTAGATAGTGTGGTGGATGAGGTATTGGGCTCCCACATGGCAAACTACAGTTAAAGTCCTGGACCTGGTGGCTTGAAATCATGCTGGCCATGTGTGCGGGTGCCCAAAATCCCAGGAAGAGAATAGAGGAAAATGGATTGCAGCATGACCATCCCCTCTGGGGGATGATTTCTCCCTTTCCTCTCTGTCTCTTTCGGGAGAGTGCATTTGTCCTATGGTAAAAACCTAAACCTTAAAAAAAAAAAAAACAAAAAAAACAAAAACAAAGAGAAGGAAGGAAGGAGGGAGGGAGAAAGAGAGAGGGAAGGGCGAGTATCCCTCAGCAGGGATGGCTGCACCGCAGTCCCTTCTTCATTCTTCATTCTCCTCTTGGGATTTGGGGCATGTACACACATGCACCTGGTGTATTTTCCAAGCTGCCAGTGTGTTTTTCAAGCTGCTGGGTTGAGACTCAAACCACGCAGCCAGCTATGTAGGATCTGCCCACCTTAACCTCTATGCCATCTGTTGGCTGCTGACCTTTTTTCTCTATTCAAGTTTCAAGGTTTTATTAACTTTTTTTTTTTTGGTGGGGCAGAGTTTTGCTGTAGGGTGTGTGTACTTGCTGAAGAGACAGAGAGACAGAAAGAGAGAAATTGCTCTGTGTGGGAGGATGGTCATTCATAATCCCTTCTCCTTTCTGGATTTTGGGCATGCACGGACTTGCTCCCTGCGTGAGTTTTAGGCCGCTGGGTCTGGGATGGAATGATGATTGGCCATTTGGGAGGCCAGCACCTTAACCACTATGCCACCTGCTGGCCCCAGTCTTACTAAATTTTAATCAATCACAATTTAATGTAATATTCATTATGATATCCTACATTCTTTCTTAAAAAATAAAAATAATCCTGTATAAGAATGTTACTTATCTCTCCTTATGCTATTTTTACTCCAATATAAGATTTTTATCTTTGCCCTCCCCCCCCTTTTTTTTTAAAGTTTTTGCTGTAAGGGCATATGTGCTTGCCAGAGAGAGAGAAAACACTAGAAATCGCCTTCCAGAGACGATGACCACGTCACAATCCATTCTCCTTTCTTATCTCAGGACTTTAGGCATGCATACACGCACACCCACAGTGTTTTTCAAGCCTCTAGTCCGAAATTCAAACCATGCATTCGACCATGTAAGATCCAGCTGCCTTAACCTTCATAACATCTGCTGGCTCCTATCATGGCTTTTTATAAAACATAAAAGTTTTTTAGAAAATAATTCTTTTTTTTAAACTTTATTTATCTTTATTTTTATTTGATGAGAGAAGGACAGTGAGAGAGAGAGGAGGAAAGTGAAAAAGCATGCTGCTATGTCTGGGATTCAAACTGCGGTCAGCCGTGTGGGATTCCAGCCAGCACCCCTAACCACCACACCCCTGCCGGCCCCCAAAATAAAAGTTTTATGTTCATTTTTTCTATGTATTTTTTTCCTGATTTATCATATATATTGTTGTTTCATTCTCTTCTCTATTTTAGAAGGTTTCCCCATGATCCAATGTGCCTTTAACTGTAATGTTGTTAAGTGAAGATATATGTTCGTTCCATCTGTGGAAAAGAGTGTTATAGTAGTCAGTTTTGAGATGGCAAATATTTTATTCTGTAATTAATACTTATTTTTAAACTTGAGACTATAGGAAGGAGAATAAAAAGATTGAAGGTAAAAATCAACTTAAATCTCAAATTCAGATCTTTCCAGATTTTTTATTTGCATTTTTACTTATAATATAGTTATAAAAAAGTGTCATTTTGCTTTTATATTGTTTTGTTTGCTTCTGAAACTTACTAACCCTGAACATTTTATTGAATGTCAATAAATTATATATTTCTGTAATATTTTTAGTAGATACTTAGGGGCGTGGTGGCACCTGCCCTATGGCAAAAATCTATGGAGGCTGGAGGATTGTGGCATCGAGTAGATACTTAGAATACTTAGTAATGGATAGTATTGTAAGATTAAATTATCTGTGATTTAATTAAGCAACCCCTTATTGCTGAAGGGTCTTGTTTTGTGTCCAGCATGAAGTATATACCAGTAGAACCTTTTTGTAAAAAGGGGTGAGGTTTTGGAAACTTCAATAAATACATACTGTGAAATTGTCCTCTAGAATGCAGTTGCCAGTTTATATTACCTTAACAGCATGTGAGATTGCTTGTAACCTTATGCCATGTTCAGTATATTGTGCATTACCATTAAAACATCTTTGCTTCTTTTTTAGTGAAAAATATTACAGTATTTGAATGATATTTGAGTACTGGTAAGGTTAAATATTTTTTAAAGGTTATTTGTGTGTATTAATTGACCTGGCATGTCTATTAATTCATTTTAATATTGTCACTTTTTTCCTTCACTTTTATTAAGATAATATTTTTTCTCTTACATATTTGCTGTGCATGTTTTTGCCCATAATTTAACATTGGCTTTCTAATTTTCATTATGTTTTCTTTGTTTTTGTTTTTGGTGTTCTAGCAGATTAATTTCTTTTTCTTTTTCTTTTTTTTTTTTTTTTTGAGAGATTTTTGCTATAGGGTGTGTGCGCTCACCAGACAGACAGACAGAGACAGAGAGATAGAAAGCGAGAAATCACTCCCCAGGGGAGATGGTCACGCCACAATCCCTTCTCCTCCATTCTCCTCTCGGGATCTTGGGCACGCACGCACACGCGCCCGGTGTGAGTTTTAAGCCACTGGGTCTGGGACGCGAACTGCAGTCGACTACATGGGAGCCCAGCGACATAGCCATTACGCTAACTGCTGGTTCCCCAGATTAATTTTTTATATTTGCGTAATTTACACAACTACTTATTATTGTCCTGTCTCTGATGCCATGCAAAGGAAACATTTACAATATTGTATAAAACAGTGTTATTAGTACTTCAGAGTTTATTTTTAAAAATACTTGCTTTTTCGGACCAGCAGGTGGCATGGAGGTGCTGGATCCCACATGGCCAGCTGCTGCACAGTTCTAGTCTTGGACCTGGCATCTGGAAAATCAACCATATGTGTGTATGGGCGTGCCCAAAATTCTGAAAAGAGACTGGAAGAGAAGGGATTCCAGAGTGGTCATCCCCTCTGAGGGGTGATTTCTCAGTTTCCTTCTCTCTCTTTCTCTCTCTCTCTGTCTCATACTCTCTAGCAAAAATGAAACAAAACAAACAGACTAGTTTTTCATTGTAATTTTGAAATAATTTTAAACTTATGTACAGATTGCAGGAATGGTACAAAAGAGCTCTTCCAATCTTAAACCATTTCAGAATACTTTACCAGTATTCTTTACTTTACCATCATTGCTGAATGGTATACATTTTCTATAAAGAAGAATATTTTATATAATCATGATATAGTCATCAAAAGCAGGAAATTAGCAGTGATGTATTATTGCTGTATGGTTTACCTACCTCGTTCATATTTCTTCAATTTCTAAAAAATATCCTTGGGAACCAGCAGTTAGCGTAATGGCTATGTCACTGGACTCTCCCATGTAGTCGACTGCGGTTCGCATCCCGGACCCAGTGGCTTAGAATTCACGCCGGGCGCGTGTGCGTGCATGCCCAAGATCCCGAGAGGAGAGTGGAGGAGAAGGGATTGTGGCGTGACCATCACCCCTGGGGGGGTGATTTCTCACTTTCTGTCTCTATGTCTCTCTCTGTCTGGTGAGCACACGCGCCCTATAGTGAAAACCTCTCCAAAAAAAAATAAATAAATAAAAAGAAATATCCTCCATTGCAAAAGCATCACAGATTGCATTTTTTTTCATTGGTTTCCTTTATTCTCCAATATTTGGTTATCAGAAAAGTTATGATACATTTTTGCAACAGATAGTGCTAGTTTATTTTTGAAAGTACTAGAGTTATTCACATCTATGTTACTGTCATATCATTTGAAAGCTAATAGTTCTAGCTTCATTCTCAAAAAATAGTAAGCAATTTGATTGAGTTTTGGAGATTTTACAAGTTTAAGATGGAAGATCAAACTGCATTTTCTCCATATTTTATTGTTTTACTCCTGCAAAGGAAAGAACATGCATCAAGATGGTGAGAAGTTGGGACCAGCAAGTGGCATGGTGGTTAAAGGCGCTGGACTCTCACATGGCCGACCACGGTTCAAGTCTCAGACCTGGTGGCTTGCTTTCTCATTTCCTATCTCTCTCTCTCTCTCTGATCAAACTGGAAAATAATAATGATAATAATAATGAATAAAGTACAATAAAATAATTCTTTTTTTTTTTTTTGGAGAGGTTTTCGCTATAGGGTGCGTGCTCTCACCAGACAGACAGAGAGAGACAGAGAGACAGAAGGTGAGAAATCACCCCCCGGGGAGATGGTCACGCCTCAATCCCTTCTCCTCCACTCTCCTCTCGGGATCTTGGGCATGCACGCACACGCGCCTGGCATGAGTTCTAAGCCACTGGGTCCGGGATGCGAACCGCAGTTGACTACATGGGAGTCCAGCGACATAGCCATTACACTAACTGCTGGTTCCCAAATAAAATAATTATTTAAAAAAAAAAGATTGTGAGAAGTTATGTCAAGTTT